CGCGGGATATACCTGGCGGACTTAAGCAACTGGATGATAGAACGTAGTCTGGGGGAGGTGGTAGAAGGATGAAACTTATTGAGAGCCACAAGGGCTATGGAGAAGTGGAGAGCCATGATCGCCTACGTTCTGAAAAAAAAACATGGCACATAAAAAGAAAATCATTTTCCCCACTTTCATTTTCCAGAGGCCCCTCTTCTACCATGTATTCACATCCCCATGTTAAGTAGGTTATTCGCTGTTTCCTCACTGTTTCAACCGACAGTAACACTGGCTGCTCGATTACAGAATTTCGAGTGTTTCTTTATAAGGAAACGGCTAATATTATCATTTACATTAGAGATTAGTACAACGGATACTACAATTTGATCACAATCCGTTGGCCAGGGAATGACACGAAAAGCATCATTCGAATAACACTCAGTCAATCTGAGTAATTTTTTTTTCTCTTTATCATCCCCAATTTTTTTTTCTTTTCTGCCATTTCTTCTGTCATATAGGAATAAAATGTCGTGGCCGACATTTGGGTTTGAACACAGATCGCCAGAAAGCAAACACAGTCGACCTCATCTTGAAATAATTAGATCAAGGAAATATATATATATATATATATATATATATATATGTAGTTAAGCCTAGAGAGTAAAACAAACTTACCAAGGTTTCAACTAAGCGAGTCGTCAGGGAAGGCCCTCCTGATGATCCGCTTAGGTGAAACCTTGGTATGTTTGTCTGGCTCTCTAGGTTTATCTAGGTCTGCTCTACTCACTGTATTGAGCACTTTATTTAGTTATTTTGCCTACTCGCATCGGGGTTTTTTTTTTCTTTGGGCGTTGGACTTGCATGCTGGACGATTATTTTTGGCTAACGTACATATTCTTGGTTCTTTCTTTTTTATACCTTTTTATCCCCATTGGTATTGGCTTGCTTTTTTGCAAATCAAGAGAGCGAGCAGTATAGTTTCTTATACTTATAAGATTTCTATTAATAATAATAATATATATATATATATATATATATATATATATATATATATATATATATATATATATATATATAATTAGTGGCGTCTGATTGAGTATTGTTCAAAGGCGTTACTATGGTTGTATCTGTGATTTACAAAGTCTCTCCTACAAACGGCCATTACAAAATCAGCATCAGCAAGTTAACTCAGTTATTCCCACTGTTTCACTTATCTTCGTTATGTCATGTGAGCGTTAAATTCTCTAGACCGTCTTTCCTCATATATCCTAGAAAATGTCAACTCTTCCATTCTGATTTTCTGTATAAGCTTACTTATAGTTCCGAATGTCCTTAAATTATGATCTGCCATTAGAAAGAATGCAGTGATGTCATCTACCCTGAATCCATTAGTCTGAGGAAACAGAAAAATAGGCTGCGCTACACAATTGAGAAGGAAATCAGTGCTCTAGCACCAATTTGATTTGATAGACTAGATTTGCTGCTGGAGCAGTTATTGAAAAATTCTAGTTAGATGCCCCGCGCATTTTGCGCCACTAGGGTTACCACTCTCCTCGATTTTACAATTGTAGTTCGTAATGACATTGAAGGCAGAATAGCACACTGGCTTGCCGGTTCATTTTGCAGGTTTTTTTACCATGTCTCTCCTCTCAGAAGTTAAAGCAGGGTCTAAAAAGCAGTAGGTCATTTGACTTCAGTGTTTTCCTTCGCCTAAACTGGTTTCCAATCAAGATTATAGGACCCTGTCTGCCCTGCTATTTACTTATAGCTGGGAGGGTGAGACGGATTCATATCTTTCTCAAAGTAAGTGAACCAGAGTGAAATTTGAACTCGGCTCTCCGTTATCCATTACTCAACCGTGCACTTGTATAAATCTTCGGAAATATCAGTTATACGACAATTACAATATTAATAAAGTCCCTAATTTATATTTTTTGACATGTAATAAACTTTTGATACGTAATAAAATGAATTTGGTTTGCTCTAAAGCCATGAGTAAGCTCGGTTTAGAGCATTAGATTAATGAAACTAATCACTATCTCGTGCAGCTGCGGAAAGAAATATAAAAGGGAGACAGGCTGGCCCCTTAAGCTAGGGCTTCAAGAACACCAGAAAGCTGTAACACGAGGGGAAGTGGAAAAATCAGGCTGAAGATAAAAGGGAGATTACCACCCTCTGTGGGATCAGGTTGAGATCATAGACAAAGAACACCACTGGAAAATTCGTAAACTTAAGGAATCAATACATATGCTAGGCCACAAAAATCTCTTCAGCCGACCAAGCATAGAAATGAATACATTGTGGGAACCAGTAATAAGGAGTGCCAAAAAAAGCAATCATAACAGTAAAAATTGCAATATGAGCACTGGTAAAAAAATGCAATCATAACAGTAAAAATTGCAATATGAGCACTGGTAAAAAAAATGCAATGATAACAGTAAAAATTGCAATATGAGCACTGGTAAAAAAATGCAATGATAACAGTAAAAATTGCAATATGAGCCCTGGTAAAAAAAATTCAAATGATAACAGTAAAAATTGCAATATGAGCACTGGTAAAAAAAATGCAATGATAACAGTAAAAATTGCAATATGAGCACTGGTAAAATGGTTGCTGAAGATATTAGCTTTATAATACCCATAAATCCATATATACAGGGAACAGTGGATAAAGGCGTTAGTTAGATCCAGTGACAGCACTCAAAGAGTGTGAGTTCAATACCCGGTTAAGGCAGTGGAGAACTTGGAAAGGGGAATTAACAGGAGACAGCTGATAACTGACATCCATTAAACATGGCACCTGGAACTAGAACAGTCTACCCCAGTGAGCGAAACAAAGAGTTCAGTTCGACATTCCAACCACCTGAAGAAGGCCGGCGCGTACAACGGCGGAAACGTTGGAATATATGGTGACATAGTACGAATAATGTAAATAGTGAAGCTAATTCATGTTAGCTATTATTAGTGATTTTAATCATCACTCGATCCCCCATAAAAAAATCGACATTAAACAATTCAACCTGCTGACGGGAAGTCAAACGCTAAGGTGTTTTTATAACAAATATACCTTATACTCGTGTATAAACCTACTTATACAACTACTAATTTTTTTGGTGAAAAACCTGATTTTTTTTTCATATAGCTCATGCATAATGTGATCCAAGCTTCTAGGTCATACTAGTTGGCATACCATAGTCAAATATTGCAGTACTAGTCATCATCCTGGACATATTTTATAGCAACTAAATGGTCTTCATTATTTTTTTTTCTACAAAGCTACCCCAAAATTGTAAGAGAAAACAGTTACCGTAAAATATCGGATACAAATATTTAGATACCGTACTTTGTTTTCGGTCATGCCTGACTATGGTAACTCCTTTACCCTAGGCCTGCTTCCTACGTAGCCTAAGTTTCTTCCCTTTTGTCACTACATGAAGAGCAAAACTTCCTCCACTATGCATGCCATCTAAATAGGTTTTTCCTATCTCAAATTTGCATTAATCTTCGTTCCGCAACTTTTCACATCGCTGATGTATTGCAATTTAAATACCGGTAAAGTTAACCAAAGATACCCTGAGAATGTAGTTTTACCAGGTACAAAAATTGGTAAATCTTAACATCTAAAAAAATAAGATTTACCTGTGTATATAACGGAAAACGCATGATTTTTCACCTCTTAAAAGTTAGCTCTGTATAATGCGATGACATATTTCTTTACTTAAAAAACTGCTCAGAAAAACTCTCACTGTGCTCGAGTACAGGATGCGATTGGTAAATTGTCGCCATTTTATATTTTAATTCAGCGCATACGTGTTGTTTGTATTTGACTTTGTCGACTATAGTAAGGTCAGTTGCATCATGACACAATTCACCCCGCCAGAAATTTGGAAACGACATACTGTACTGCTTGGCATTCGCGCCGAAACGAACGTTTCAAAGTGTTTATGTGTCAATCTGAGAACAGTGCAGAGGATTCAGAAAGAGTCGAATGCGTCGAATGGAGATATCGTACGTAGGGCAGCTCGGAAAACTCACTTATCGTTCTTATAAGAAAAGAACTCCCGAATTTGTAGGCGAGGGCCTCAAACTCAACACTGAGGCCTACATCAAGTGCATTCAGGTGGTAGTGCTGCCCTGAGTCAAGAGGGTGATTGATGAGAGACCCTATGTCTAGCAACAGTACTCTGCACCATGCCACACAAGCAGCAAAACCCAGTCATAACTTTCAGACAATTTCTGCAACCACATCAACCATTACATCTGGCCACTTAACTCCCCAGATTGTACCCGCTTTGATTATAATGTGTGGAGCGCGGCTAAGCGAGAGACTAAAAAAAACACCTTGTAACACCAAGGACGAACTGAAGACAAGGATTATAGCAGCATTCACTAACTTAAACAAGGAGACTATCCAGAAGAGTTGCAGGAGATCCCGAAGTCGTCTGGAGGCCGTGGTTTAAGCCAATAGCTATTTTATTAAATACATTTACTCTTTAGTATTTCAAGATATTTTTGTGTAGTTTTTGTATATATATATATATATATATATATATATGTTTGTGTGTGTGAGTGTGTGTGTGTGTGTGTATCTGTGTGTGTGTGTGTTTGTGTTAAAATAAGATGTCAGTGTTATTTTCATTTTTGAGTAATCTAGACGACAATTTATCAATCGCACCCTGTATATCGGCTAATGAAAAGAGTAAGTTTCAGTTGCACATAAAAAAAAAAAACAGCGGCAAAACATAATATTTTTCATCCAATCAGAAACGTTGTTGAGAACTATTTACCAGAACTCTATTTTGAGCCTGTCTGTGGTCTTAAATATATTATCGTTGGCTAGGATAGTCAGGGTTGATAAAAATCTCTAAAGTTCACAGATTTTCCTACGCTATTCACACACACATTGTTACTGCCCACGTACATTGATACTACTCAACAGTCAGCACACTTCCATGTACAGATTCAACACATAATTTATTCGCCACATAACTTAAACTCAACATTACTACACCTCAGCTTACGGCCGCATCATGTCGAAACATAAGTTCCCGTACGATCACCGAAGTTAAGCAACACCGATCCTGGTCAGTGCCTAGATAGGTGACCGCTTTGGAATATCAGGTGTTATAAGCTCAGGTGTGAAGATTGTATAATGGATAATGGCTTGAAATTGTTAATCGGAGAGCCGAGTTCCAATTCCAGTTGGGTTCGATATATTCACTTACGCACAAATTTATTTGGAAAAGTCTGAATCCAATTTCTCTCCCTTAGCTGTGGGTTAATTAGAAAGATGTATATCATGAGATTCCTTATTATCACAAAAAATATAATTGCGTACAAAATATTTAGATTTTGGCATTAAGTAACCAATAGCGGAGTTGATATGCCGCTAAAAAAAAAACAACCAACCAACAATACGTGCTTTATGATTTTTCCGGCCTTGGTTGAGAGAAAACTTACTTAAACTAATATGGTCTTCTTCACTATGACACGCTTTTCCCAGTCATTATACGGAGTGTAACAGCAAAATTGTCCAAATCGTGTAACAGCAAAATTGTCTATTTGTTAGATTAAGCCTTGAAACGTTGTAACTTAGAAATGATTAAATATATCTTATTGGAATTCACCAAGGATATTATAACACTATTGGACTCTAATTGAGCAATAAGAATGTATAATTCTCTCCAAATTTAATAGAAGAATCGTGATGAAATCGATCATAAACGAAAATGACATGTTCATCATTAATTAATCATAGCTAAGGATCGGAAGCTTATGAAGGATTGAAATTAAGTTCAAATATATACATTATTCCATAATTATTTTCCAACTTATTGAAGATGCTCTTCACCCTTTCTAACCTTCTAACTTTTGTCCTGAAGTACCAAGGTGCCTCACAGGTTTCACGTACGATTTCCTTTTCAAGTCTTTTTCACTGCTCTTTGGACTATCATAGTTGAAACTCCTCTCTCACGAGCCAAACGTCTTATGAATTGAGTTGGATCTTTTCTAATTGATCTCTTTAGCTCTAAATTGAAATGATGATCCCTCTTTCTGTTGTAGCTTCCTGATCCAGTTTTCCTCTCTACTGTTCTAAAATTATTCACATTTCCCTTGATATTTCTTGTATGGACTTTGAAGATGAAGACCAGAGTATGAATGTTGGTACCATGACCGAAGGCTTGAATGATATTTTTCCTCTCACCATTGATCAGTGGAGAAAACAGTGGGTTTAGCACAAAACGATTTTAACCTGTTCTCTTTCTAACTGAATAACTCAAAGGGTTTTTCGGTGATTCTTACGATAAATGTTATCAAAATTGCTAAAAACCTGTAAAAAAAAAAAGGAAACTTTGCTTCGTGTTTTTTAGATATTAAATATTTTGTGGGATGGATAATTTTCGCTGTAACACGATTTTGACAATTTTGCTGTTACACTCTGTATATATATATATATATATATATATATATATATATATATATATATATATATATTATATTTAGGCAGCATACTTTCTTTTAATAATTTATTACATTTAAAATAAAATTCGTTACAATACGTTCAAATGTTATCAAAATGGCCAAAAACCTGTAAAAAGAAACTCAGTTTGCTTCGTGTTTTTTAGATATTAAACATTTTGTGGGATGGATAATTTTCGCTGTAACACGATTTTGACAATTTTGCTGTTACTCTCTCTCTCTCTCTCTCTCTCTCTCTATATATATATATATATATATATATATATATATATATATATATATATATTTTTGGGCAGCATACTTTCTGTTAATAATTTATTACGTTTAAAATAAAATTCGTTACAACTACTTCTCAAGCAATAAAAATCTTTATACAAAACAAAACTTTATACAAAGCTAAAACTTGATTATGGAATTTACTCTGTAACCTGTAACGACAGTGCAGATGGTTTAATACTTGCTTCTCGCCTTCGTTTTCTAGGGCCTCCTGGATTTGACGATAAACTACATCCACGTCCTGGGTATGATGATAAACTACATCCGGTAGCAAAAACCCTGATGGTTTGAAGATGGAAGCCGGAGTATGAATGTTGGTACCATTACTGAAGGCGTGAATGATCTTTTTCCTCTCACCTTTGCTCAGTTGAGAAGACAATGGGTCTGACACAAAACAATTTTAACCTGTTTTATTTCAAGCTGAATAACTCGAAAGGTTTTTCGGTGAGTCTTACGACAAATGGTATCAAGATGGCTAAAACCTGTAAAAAAGAAACGCAGTTTGCTTCGTGGCTTTTTAGATATTGAACATTCAGTGCGCCTGACACAAAATGATTTTAGCCTGTTCTATTTCTAGTTGAATTACTCAAAGGGATTTCCAGTGATTCTTACGACAAATGTTGTCACGATGGCTAAACGATATATCTGAAAACCTGGTAAAACGAAACTCATTTCAATGACTTTGTTTAGATATTAAGCAGTTTGTGGGATGGACAATTATGCTGTTACACGATTTAGACAATTTTGATGTTAGGCCCGATATTTTACCAGTCAAATTAAATGTTCAGTTGGTTTTTATTCCCATGTATCTCCTTTTTACGCAACCTCAACATTATGTCTATTTAATACCACTAAACGTATTCAGCTTCCTTTGGGGAGTCAGCTAACACAAACCCAACGGAGCGTCACGAACCTCGGTAGCTAGTAGGCGATCATGCAGTTATCGTACGACCCTCTATTATCTGATAATCTGTCCTGACTTCTATAGACTGATGACTTTGATTTAACCTTTTAATATTGACGCTCATCCTCACCATCTAAACACAATATGTACAACAGAGACCATATTTCTTATTACTTAAAAGTTTTTGTGTCAATTAATGAAATGAGGAAGAATTTAACAAAAGGTTTCAACTGCAATAACAATAAAGGATATAGGCGAATAAAAACAGTTTAGATACTGCTTGTTTTCATGTACACTATTTACATTGTTCGGACTGTTGTCCACATATTTATTGTCATATTCACCGTCAACATCTGTCTCTATTTCTGAGATGAGGTATTGTAACTATTTACACTATTTACATTGTTCGAACTGTTGTCCTCATCTTTATTGCCATATTCACCATCAATATCTGTCTCTATTTCTGAGATGAAGTAATGTAACTATTTACACTATTTACATTGTTCGGACTGTTGTTCTCATCTTTATTGCCATATTCACCTTCAACATCTGTCTCTATTTCTGAGATGAGGTATTGTAACTATTTACACTATTTACATTGTTCGGGCTGTTGTCCTCATCTTTATTGCCATATTCACCTTCAACATCTGTCTCTATTTCTGAGATGAGGTATTGTAACTATTTACACTATTTACATTGTTCGGACTGTTGTTCTCATCTTTATTGCCATATTCACCTTCAACATCTGCCTCTATTTCTGAGATGAGGTATTGTAACTATTTACACTATTTACATTGTTCGGACTGTTGTCCTCATCTTTATTGCCATATTCACCTTCAACATCTGTCTCTATTTCTGAGATGAGGTATTGTAACTATTTACATTATTTCCATAGTTCGGACTGTTGTCCTCATCTTTATTGCCATATTCACCTTCAACATCTGACTCTATTTCTGAGATGAGGTATTGTAACTATTTACACTATTTACATTGTTCGGACTGTTGTTCTCATCTTTATTGCCATATTCACCTTCAACATCTGTCTCTATTTCTGAGATGAGGTATTGTAACTATTTACACTATTTACATTGTTCGGACTGTTGTCCTCATCTTTATTGCCATATTCACCTTCAACATCTGTCTCTATTTCTGAGATGAGGTATTGTAACTATTTACACTATTTACATTGTTCGGACTGTTGTCCTCATCTTTATTGCCATATTCACCTTCAACATCTGTCTCTCTTTCTGAGATGAGGTATTGTAACTATTTACACAATTTATATTGTTCGGGCTGTTGTCCTCATCTTTATTGTCATATTCACCTTCAACATCTATCTCTATATCTGAGATGAGGTATTGTAACTATTGACACTATTTACATTGTTCGGACTGTTGTCCTCATCTTTATTGCCATATTCACCTTCAACATCTGTCTCTATTTCTGAGATGAGGTATTGTAACTATTTACACTATTTACATTGTTCGGACTGTTGTCCTCATCTTTATTGCCATATTCACCTTCAACATCTGTCTCTATTTCTGAGATGAGGTATTGTAACTATTTACACTATTTACATTGTTCGGACTGTTGTCCTCATCTTTATTGCCATATTCACCTTCAACATCTGTCTCTATTTCTGAGATGAGGTATTGTAACTATTTACACTATTTACATTGTTCGGACTGTTGTCCCCATCTTTATTGCCATATTCACCTTCAACATCTGTCTCTATTTCTGAGATGAGGTATTGTAACTATTTACACTATTTACATTGTTCGGACTGTTGTCCTCATCTTTATTGCCATATTCACCTTCAACATCTGTCTCTATTTCTGAGATGAGGTATTGTAACTATTTACACTATTTACATTGTTCGACTGTTGTCCACATCTTTATTGCCATATTCACCTTCAACATCTGTCTCTATTTCTGAGATGAGGTATTGTAACTATTTACACTATTTACATTGTTCGGACTGTTGTCCACATCTTTATTGCCATATTCACCTTCAACATCTGTCTCTATTTCTGAGATGAGGTATTGTAACTATTTACACTATTTACATTGTTCGGACTGTTGTCCACATCTTTATTGCCATATTCACCTTCAACATCTGTCTCTATTTCTGAGATGAGGTATTGTAACTATTTACACTATTTACGTTGTTCGGACTGTTGTCCTCATCTTTATTGCCATATTCACCTTCAACATCTGTCTCTATTTCTGAGATGAGGTATTGTAACTATTTACACTATTTACGTTGTTCGGACTTTTGTCCTCATCTTTATTGCCATATTCACCTTCAACATCTGTCTCTATTTCTGAGATGACGTATTGTAACTATTTACATTGTTCGGACTGTTGTCTTAATCTCCATTGCCTTATTTACCTTTAACATCTGTCTCTATTTCTGAGATGAGGTATTGTAACTATTTACACTATTTACATTGTTCAGACTTTTGTCCTC